GGGCTGCGGCCTGGGAGAGGGACAAGCCATCTGCTCTGTGGTCCCAGGAACCTGCGGCTGTGGTCCTGGCGAAGCCTCCCACCCACGGTCCAGTGTGGCTATGGAAGGACCAAGTGAAGCTGGCCCAGGTTCTAGCTGCCTGTGACTGGCCAGAGGGAGGGAAGCCCGGGTCCCAGGTGCCTGTGACTGGCCGGAGGAGGGAATCCTGGGTCCCGGGTGTGGGGCAAGGCAGAGGCAGTTAGGGTAATCAGGCCAGCAGGAAAGCAGTTAGGGGTGATCAGACAGGTAGCAGGTGAGCTGTTAGGAGCCAGTGGTCCCGGATTGTGAGGGTGCAGGCTGGGCTGAGGCCCCCGTACACAACGGTGCATGACTTTCATACACCAGGCCTCTAGTAGATCTATGAGTCTCAAGAAAAGAATGGTGAGCCAAGCAGGTTTTAAATCCAGCTGATCTGTATTTCACCCATTGAACACAGAATAATTAAGGAAATATTTTTCCCATGGGCCCTTGTTGAGAAAAGTATTAAGTCCATTTGGGCTGCTGTAACAGAACACCATAGATGGGATGGCTTATAAACAATAGAAATTTCTTAGTTCTGGTGGCTGCAAAGTCCAAAATAAAGATACTGGCAGATGTGGAAATGCAGCAATAAGGAAGTTTCTGAAAACCAGAAACAGAGCTCTCAGCAAAAACTAAATCTGCTGGCACCTGGATCTTAGACTTCCAGCCTCCCAAACTGTAAGAAATAAATGTCTGTTTAAGCCACCCAGTCTATGGCGTTTTGTTACAGCTAGCTGCCCTAGCTAAGATCATGCCATTAAATAATTTCAAATTTAAGTCATAAACGTTATAGAATCCACACACATCACTAAGTCTACTTTTCATAGCAAGGAGGAAGCAATGCATTAATTGACAGTCAGGCACAAACTCCCTATCAAGGTAACTACTCCTATTTCAAATAACATGAGTACAAATATTTTGGTGTTCATTTTTTTTTCATAATCACTCCATCATCATCTTTAGGTACCATTTGCCACATTCAGGATGGTGTTTTGTGTTACACAAAAAAGTTCAGTTAAATTAGTATTTTTTCATAAATTAAGATTAAAAATATCCCTGATTGATGCAGTTGGTTGAGTACCATCCCATACACAAAGGGTCACAGTTCAATTCCTGGTCTGGGAACATACCCAGGTTGTGGGTTTGATCCTGTTGGGGTGCGTATGGGAGGCAACCAATAGATGTTTCTCTCTCACATCAATGTTTCTCCAGCTCTCTTTCTCAAATTAATAAAAAATATTAAAAATAATTATGTTTAAAAGATTAAAAATAATAATGCAGACTTTACTTCCGCAGTTTAGCTTATAATGTAAAACTCAAAATTAAAAAAAAAACAAAAAAAACCCAACAGGCTTGAAACTGGGAAAGAACTTTTACTTACAGAATTTAAATAAATGTAACATTTGTCAATGTAAGGAATGAAACTGAAAATCACCAGAGAACACCAAATAATAATTGCTGCTATAGGTAAGATTGACAGTGAGTGGGTAAAAAATTACAGAGAAACTGTATAATGCATACTCTCAGTGGCTCTTCCCCCAAATAGTTATTAATATTGTGTAATTTTAACATATACCCACAAATTCATTTCTCTCCTTCCAGAAAGGAAGCTTTATTTCCTTTTCCTTTCTTGAAGGCAACACTTGGCAATTAGCTTCCAAAGGACAATGTGTTGAAAGGAAAAATAGTAATTTTCTATGGAAGCCTCCCTCCCCCACCTTACTAATCCCATGAGCAAAGGTATTAACATCATCTAGAATAAGATGTTGATAACATGTCCCCCCGATTTGAAAAGCTAGTAGGGCATGTCACTTATATGGTGTTATTCTCCCAAATCCCCAACCTTAGTCTAATTAAGAGAAGACATTAACCTAAATTGAGGGGCAGTTTTCAAAATATCTAGCTAAAACTCTTGCAGTGTCTCAAGATAAAAAAATAAATAAATAAAAATAAAGGAATAAAACACCTAAAAAAGTATCTCAAGTTCCGGAAAGACTTGAGGGAACAGCACTAAGGAAAGGAGACTAGAAGATATGATGACTAAATGCCATCCTGGGTTGGATCCAGAAACAGAAAAAGGATATTAATGAGAAAATTGGTAAAAATCAAAATAAAGCAGCAGTGTGGTTGATGGGATTGTGCTAACGTTAATTTCTTGGTTTGATTATACATTGGGGAAAGCTTGTAAAAATTACACAGGAACGCTCTACATTAACTTCCTCTTCTGCCCAGTTCATTCCCTCCCCTTTCTGTTCATAGGTGTTGATCTGTAGTAAATATCCTGACCCCAGATTCCACCTTTGTTGGCTCCTGGAGAATCCAACTTGTAACAACACATATTTCCCAATACATTCCCGACAATTTTCCTTCTTAGGTATTATAAAATCCAGATGTAGTTTGTACTTTCCTCAAATTCTTTGCATTTTATTTACATAAAAGGTAAAATAAACCTGGTTAGATTTTAGGCCCAATTATAGAAAAGGTTACCTTTGGTATAAGTCAAGAATCATTTAGGATACCCCTAATGATGACTTTGTTGCTAACCAGCCCTGCCCTGCCTGCCAATCAGCAGGAGCTCTTTGCTCAAAGGCTGGAGAGTAAAATGTGTGTGGCAATTAATTTGGTAGGTTTAGCAAAAAAGAGCCCTAGCTAAGTAAATGTGACCTTATTTCTTATAATTCCAACTGTGCTTTCATCTATAAATACTGCAGGATGAGACGAGGGTGAAGGGATTGAGGCACTTCACTCAGGCACAAAGGTTAAAGAGAGACCAAACAATTTAGTAATTAAGATAAAAAATATTTTCAAAAAATTAAAGTGCCAAAAAAATCCATAATGACAAAAACATCAAAATTGTAAAAGGCTGTCTTAATATGACTGAATGAATAGCAGAAGTTGGTTATGGGTTACATCCCCTACTGCTACTACCCTCATTGTTGGATTATATTTTTTCCTAATTAAAAAAAAAAAATGACAAATATATATCACACCCATTAAGGTGGCTGGTATAAAAAAACAAACAAAATGAAACAAAAATGAGCAATAACAAGAGTTGGTGGGTATGTGGGGAAACTGGAACCCTTGTGTTTCCTGGTAGAGATGTAAATTGGTGCCATCACTGTAGAAAACACTTCAGTGGATCCTCAAAAGTTCAACACAGAATTACCACATGATCCAGCGGTTCTCCTAGCTGTAGACTCAAAAGAATGGAAAGCAGAGACTCAAACAGATATAATTTTAAATTTTTTTTGATTCTAATCAATGTAGATATTTTTCCTATACAGAAGACCCCAAAATAAAGAAGTGTACACAGAATACAGACAATACTAGGTTATATCAATTTACTTCACGTAAGAACATGTTTCAGGCCTATGATTTCCATTTAATATAAACAAAAACAATCTGTACAGAAAATCCTAAGGCAACCATTTAGCATAATATGTAAATGTGCAAATATACTTTTAGAGACAAGTCATTCCATAGTATTTGCAAGGTAGAGCTTTATAGTAATAAAGGAATCTACCTCATTGCAGTTAAACTTAATAATCCTTTGCATGTATAGCCAATGCAAATGTACAAGGCACAACTTAGTGTTGATGCTAAAGTGTGCAATACACACCCTCAGATTTTTTATTTAAAAATATTAAAATAACATAGTATCGTGTTTGTATTTTATTATTGAATGAGACATCAGCTCATTTCTAAAGCTTCATGAAGTATCACACACTGACAACATACGTGGAGTCAGGACACACTGCTCCCTGAACTTAAAAAAGGTAAAAGATCCTTGCTACTCTATATTAAAAAATTATATATATGTATGTACACAGGCACAGCAACATCACACACTTCCCATAAGCCAAATGAAGGCCATTCCTTTTAGCACTGATTCCTATATCAGTATTTTATAGCAGAATTATTTTAAAAGGACACATTTATTTACTACTGGCTTGGATCAATTTTGCTACAAAAAGACACAATTGAAACAGAAAAATTTCTCTTTCAAAATAAAGACAATGCCTAATTTGGAAAGTCTTTCCCTTGAGAATGCACAGTGAAAACCATTATTTAAATATAAAAGTTTGCTTGCCCGGCTAGTGTGGTTCAGTGGTTGAGCACTGACCCATGAACTTGGAGGTCATGGTTCGATTCCCAGCAGGGCACATGCCCCAGTTTCGGACTCAATCCCCAGTAGGCAGCATGCAGGAGGCAGCCAATAGATTATTCTCATCATTGATATTCCTCTCTCTCACCCTTTTCCTTCCTCTCTCTGAAATCAATAAAAACATTAAAAAAAAAAAAAAAAAAGCTTGCAGATTTAAAAGAAATTATTTAAATCTACACAAAGAAAAATGTCAACCTATCAAAACAATTTAATGAGCCTTGGCTAGAACACAATTCAAAATCTTTCAAGCCCAATCAGTCTCTCTCTTTGCTGTTTTATTACCCATCCCTGAGAGTAAAGATTCTATCATTTTAAGTTTTAATAAAGCAAATAAATTTGCAATGTGAAAAAGATGTCTAAGAATTTTTACAAAATATGATATAAGCCCTATTTCATTTTAGTAAAAAAGAAAGATAAATTTTTTTACAAAGACCACCATTTATAACAATTTTAAAAATTTGTATCTCAAGCCACTGTAATCCTCTTTTTACTGGGTAATTTCTTTTCTTTTCTTTTTTTTTTTTTTTTTTTTTTTGCCATTCATGTAGCACTCATTTCTTCAAAGCCCATCATTTTGTAATTTTTGTTAATAAGAGCATTTAATTGGTAACAGAGCAAAAATACATATAAAATGTAGAGGAACGCAAAATGAGATCTGTATGTTTTCCTGTGGTAAAAGTGTTTTACTGGAAATAACCTGAATGCCATCCAAGAAAGGCAAAAATTCCTCCACAGAAAGAACACACGTGGTAAACATCTTCCTCATGTCTTTGGTTTAGCCTTCTTGGCCAAAATCTTCAGAAAACTTCTTTAATTTAAGCAAGTCATGTTCATTGACTGTGGGCTTTGTGCTAGACAGTGATCGTAACATATCACCCTGTCAGGGAAAGGAGAGGGGAGTATTAGTAATAGATTTAATCACTGATTTATCATCACAATTACTACTTTCAACTAAGGTCAACCTGAATACCATAAACTATTGACAAACTCTTATTCTTCTAAAGGACAGCTTTGACCATGTTATTCCTTTGCCTAGAAACTTTCAATTGCTTGCCTTATCCTAATCACAACCTTTCAATAGCTCCTCATTGTCCATCAGAAGTAGTCAATTCTCTGAGCCTGAGGATCAAGACCCTCAATAACATGCCCCCATCTTTCTTCTAGCCTTAACTGTTCCCCCCAACCCCCTTAACAAGATGGGGGTTTTCCAAGTGCACTTCAAAAAAAAATAGTCTCAGTCACTTATATTTATGTGAAAAAGAATACTATTTGATCAAAATCAATAAATCAGAATGAACTATTACTTAAAATTAAAATGGTAAGAAAATAGGCTAATATTAGAGATTTGTTAAAAAATTAAGTTCTAGGCTATCACTTTGTATTCTGTAAGAATGAAAATGATCAAAAGAATCAAGACTAATAAATAAATCAAGGATTGAAAGAAAAAAAGGGTTTCTGAATAACTTCTCAGATAAGCATTATGATTAACACATATATAAATATTTATATACATGTTCACATATATCTTTATATTTATGTTTACATATCATGTAAACCTTTCTCTCCTGGAAGTTACTATTCATTCTACCATAAAACTCTTTGAATATCTTAATGGAAGCTGATTTAAAAATCTGAGTGTTTATCAAGAAGAAAACATAAACATAACAAATTAACCTTTTTCAATCATAGTAAGTTCTTTAAGAAATGATATGCCTTACAAAATCAAGCTTTATGAATTATTTTAACTCCTTCGATATAAATAGGAATGTAATTTTTACAATAAAATTATTTCAGAATTCTTTTTAGCACTACTTTATTTAAACTTTCTATAAAGCCTTGAGAAATAAAATAGAAAAACACTACTATGAATATTACGATTCCTACATTACAGTTTCTGGATATTTTACCAAATGTGAGATTCAGGGAAAAATTTTTCACCAGCCCTACTTTTTAGTTAAGGCTTGATTTGTGCAATATATATGAGCATTTTGGTAATAATATCTCAACTATAATACCTGTAAGATCAGAAGCCTGTGTTTTTTAAAAAATAGCTCATTCATTGATAATTAAGATTTTTCTCAAAGCCTAAGAAAACATTTTAAAGATGATTATTTCTTTTTTTAAGTTACTTTTTACAACTTTTAAAGGGAGTAGATTATATTTAATAAACATGCCAGATTATGCTAACATTTTCTAGCTAATCTTACGTAACGGAAAATTTTTATAGTTGACAAACTACAAAGTATGATGTTTAAAATTTTTGCCAAAAATGAAACAAAATGTCAAACCATGGAAACAATTGGCTCCAAAAGTTTATCACCAGGGACGTCCACCCACGTCATCTCAATGGCACCAGGATCCCCAGGAGAACAGGGCATTAAGAGATCATCCACTATGTTGTTAGGATCAGTTCGGGAAGGTCCTCGAACCTGGAACAAAGAGTGATGGGGAATATTTACTTGGATAAGTTAAATAAATATTAGATTTAGGCCATTATCAGGAAATTTGAAAATATACTATTACTTCATGTTTCATTAAAATATTTACTTTTGGAAATAAATAGAATAACATACAATGAAAAAGTGATTATCTCTGGATGATGGGATAAATCTTGTTTGATTTTATATTTTTCTTTTTCTTAAATATATTTTATTGATTTTTTTAACAGAGAGGAAGGGAGAGCGATAGAGAGCTAGAAACTTCGATGAGAGAGACATCAATCAGCTGTCTCTTGACACCCCCCAACGGGGTATGTGCCCACAACCAAGGTACATGCCCTTAACCAGAATTAAACCTGGGACCTCTCAGTCCGCAGACCAACACTCTACCCCCTGAGCCAAACCAGATTCGGCTTTTATGTTTTTTTTGATGCTTTTCTGTATTTTGAAATTTCTTACAATGATCACAGGAGAAAATGAGTTAAGATTAAAAAAAAACCCACACACACACAAAAAAAATATACACATGTATACACACACACACGAGAAAAATAAGATTAAAAAAAACATACATATGTATACACACACACACACACACACACACACACACACACACAAAGCTACTGCTGGTTAAGATGTTTTATTTAAAACCTTATGAAGGACAGATAAAAATCCCTTACCTTTTTAAAGTGAGTGGCCGACTGTACTTTTCTAATCGGCTGCATAAGTGCGTCACGCACAATGACACTGATGTCTGCCCCTGAGTAACCCTCGGTTTTCTTTCCAAGCTCTCGGAAGTCTGTTTCCGTTAGACTGTTCTGAGTGGTCCCCAAGTGCAGTTTAAACATTGCAGCTCGGGCATGGGCCTCAGGCAGAGGAATATAAATTCGTTTCTCAAATCTTAAAATGAAAAACATTACATTAAGAATATTACTATATATATATTTAATTTCCATTGAAAATTAGAATATTTTCAAGCAACAAGATATTTAGATATTCTCACTTGTACAAAGTTAAGCTGAATAAGTTAAATGGACCCATATGTGTTAGAGTTAAACATGTATTTAGGTTAAACGAAGGTAAAATGCCCACAATACAAAACAAATAAAACCAGAATAACCAGAGAACCAACTGGAATTGGTTAGACTTTCTCACAAGATCTTTGGGTTATCTTGCCATAGTGTTTATATGCCTGGAATTCATGATATGACATGTCCTCCAGGATTACAGTTTCCCATAGAATTGTACTCTGAACTGATCAAAAGATTAATATAATTAATAACATGAAACAAGAGATAAAATAATTCTCTAAATTCAAAATTGGAAACATACTCAAAATATTTTAGAATAGGCATATTACACATAATGTCCACTTTATTATAATAGGTATCCAGAACAAATAATTCTACTATATCATAATTAAACACCATGCTTTATTAACAATAATTTTTTTAATTGATTTTTTTACAGAGAGGAAGGGAGAGAGAGAGCTAGAAACGTCGATGAGAGAGAAACATCAACCAGCTGCCTCCCGCACACCCCCCACTGGGGATGTGCCCTCAACCAACGTACATGCCCTTGACCGGAATCGAACCTGGGACCCTTCAGTCCGCAGACAGACGCTCTACCACTGAGCCAAACCGGCTTCGGCTATTAACAATAATTTTGTTTGCCTTCTTAGAATTTCAGTATTTGGATATGGGAAGAAAGCAATAAGGAAAGATTTAAGTGGTCTGTGAAAATGTTTTTTTTCTTTTCTTTTTCGGCTTTTTTCTTTTCTTTAGATAATATTCTGTGGCAATAAGAAGAATCTAAAAAGTTTTCATTATCTGCAGAGATGGGCCCAGAATTAAGCCATCTTAAAAAATAACCAGGCCCTAGCTATATAAATGTGTAAATATACTTTTATATATATTGTATATATTGAAGTGGATAGATATATATTATAGTGAATAGAGTGTCGGCGTGCAGACCAATGGGTCCTAGGTTAGATTCCAGTTAAAGGCGGACACATACACACACACAGACACACACACACACACACACACACACACGCTCCTCCCTGGCCTGGGCCCTGGTTGGGGCTCATGCAGGAGGAAACCAGATGATGTGTTTCTCTCACTTCGATGTTTTACATCATGAAATCCTTTCCCTCTCTCTCTCACTCTTCCTAATAGTCAATGGAAAAATATCCCCGGATGAGAATTAACAACAAAATAAAGATATTAAAAATAAATAAATAAATAGCACTTTTCCTTTCTAGGTACCAGGATCTATCCTGTTTCCCTGAAAATAAAAGTGTCTTATATTAATTTTTTCTCCCAAAGTTGCGCTAGGTCTTATTTTCAGGGGATGTCTATCTTTCCATGCGCTAGGTCTTATTTTCGGGGAAACACGGTAGCATCCAGGGAAACCATCAAATGAATGGGATAAGAGTGACAAAAAACTAAAATTGTAATTTTTACCATGTAAAAGTAAATGAATGAAATAGGGAATCACGAAGCAGTAAAAAATTGTCAGAGAGATATCTTTCCTGCAGCTCAAGTTTCATTTGCAATTTAAAAATTAGACACAGCCGAAATCGGTTTGGCTCAGTGGAAGAGCATCGGTCTGGGGACTGAGAGGTCCCGGGTTCAATTCCAGTCAAGGGCATGTACTTTGGTTGCGGGCACATCCCCAATAGGGGGTGTGCAAGAGGCAGCTGATCGATCTTTCTAGCTCTTTATCTCTCTCCCTTCCTCTCTGTAAAAAAATCAATAAAATATATTAAATAAATAAATTAATAAAAGATAACCCTGTTCCTCTTTCAGTTGTAATAATCTGAACAATAAAGATTTATTTAAAAATAAATAAATAAAAAATAAAAATTATAGACACAGCTGAAACCAGTTTGGCTCAGTGGATGGAGTGTTGGCCTGTGGACTGAAAGGTCCCAGCTTCAATTCCGGTCAAGGTCATGTACCTTGGTTGCAGGCACATCCCTGGTAGGGGTGTGCAGGAGGCAACTGATCGATGATTCTCTCTCATCGATGTTTCTAACTCTTTATCCTTCTCCCTTCCTCTCTGTAAAAAAAAAAAAAATCAATAAAATATATTTTTTTTAAAATTACACACATTTTTTAACTGAAAATATATCTGTGATAATTCTTCAATTTGTATTATTGTCATTTTGCTAAAGTTTTAAATGAAGGTTCTTCACTGGAATATCTTTATATAGTAAAATATAAATTTACTATATTTGTAATTTTTTGAAGTATCAGTGCCTTAATCAAAGCTAAAGGTAAATATTAGGTATTATCTTTCCCAATGTGAAAGATTCCAGTATGTGAAAATCTCATATTTTCAATATAGCAAACAAATAAACAGATGCCTGCCTCCCTTTTCTCAAGGTAATAGAGTTAGGGAACATTAAAAAAGATTCTGCAAATTTTTCAGAATGATTCCTCACTAGACAGAATGGGAATTCTTATTCACTTATTACATCTGTAGTCAGATATATTTACTGTCACATCATACCTTCGCCTAATGGCAGAATCCAGTACCCAAGGTATATTTGTAGCTCCCAGAACCAAAATTCCCTCATTGTCCGTACCAACACCTGCATCAAAATAGGCAATATTTTATTTATTTATTTATTTACTTATTTATCATTTTATTTTTAATTTATTTTTTATTAAATTATTATATGTGTACATATCTTACCATTGCCCCCCCCAAAATAGGTAATATTTTAAATAATTTTTCATTTTAGTGTCCGTTAAACCTCATCTCTCCGTCCAGTTAATAATGTGATGCATTAACACCAAAGTACCTCATCCTGACAGTCTCTCTCTGAAAAACACTATATTGAATCAAATATCAAATTACTAAATTATGATGCAAATATCCCCAAGATTCAAATCTCCTAGACTTTGGACAAATACTATTAATATTCTTTTAAAAATATTTCTTGAGAGATTTCATTTGAACTCTACATATTCCTTTTACTGATACTGCTTCTGGTATAAGCGAATATATAGATCTCTTTACTATTTATATCAGCAAGTCCCTCAAAATGATTACAACTGGATGAAAGACAGAATGAAACAAGGCATAATGAAACAGTCTGTTAGAATGAACAAATTCTGCTTGAATTTTTTACATTACGGTTAAAATAATGATTATAGAATAAATAGAAACTATTTTTAGAAATCAGTGATAACACCTTGCATTTGAACTAGGAACTCCGTCTTAATTCTACGTGCAGCCTCGCTTTCATTTTCACTTCTTGAACCACACAGAGAATCGATTTCATCAATGAAGATAATGGAAGGTTTATTCTCTCTGGCAAGTTGGAATAAGTTCTTAACTAGCCTAAAAAGAAATAAAAGCTTTTAGTTTCTGGAAAATAGTAGACAACACATGGCTTAATGAAAAGAGGAAAACAAAATAATATACAATTGTATAGGAATTCTATAAACTAAAAACTAATCATTCTATAAACTAAAAACTAATTCTGGACTAATCATGTTTTAGTCCAGAAAACAAGAATGCTACATTTGGATAATCCACTTTACAATTTACTAACATATATATATGTTTATCTTTCTCCTATGAAATACATTCCAAAGTAGGGACTGATTCGACAGAGAAAAGAATACCTATATTATGTCAATTCTCTGAATGTCTATTAATGATGTAAGAATTTATTATTTTATAGTGCAAAATAGTGATTAGCTGGTAAAAAAGACATTTAAAAAAAATTTACTTACTTTTCACTTTCACCTAACCACTTGGAGACAAGGTGGGAGGAATGTATTGAAAAGAATGTTGAGTTGTTTGCTTCTGTGGCTACAGCTTTGGCTAAATAGGACTTTCCTGTTCCAGGTGGCCCAAATAAAAGGATTCCCTTCCAAGGTGTTCTCTTGCCTAAAATTTGTGTAAGAAATATAACATGAGAATTTCAAGACTGTTGATTTCAGTTACCAGAGACACCGTCCATGCTGTGAGGAGGTTTTCACTCTAAAGTTATCAATAGAATACAAATTTTTATAAATAAATCACAGATAAATCTTAAATATATTTTATTTGCTCTTTTTAGAGACCACTTTGTTAAAAGTGAGTTTACATGAATATGATCCTTCTAACAGGAAGTTCATTTGCTTGTCCACTCATTCATTCAACCACTATGTAGAGAAACCACAATGTGCAGAGAGAGAACTATGAATGCCAAAGGATCTTTGCCCTCCACAGGCTCAGTCTAGTGTGGAAAAAGAGCTCAGTTAAAAGGCACTTCTGCCAAAACCGGTTTGGCTCAGGGGATAGAGGGTCGGCCTATGGACTGAAAGGCAGGTACCTTGGTTGCGGGCACATCCCCTGTAGGGGGTGTGCAAGAGGCAACTGATCGATGATTCCCTCTCATCGATGTTTCTAACTCTCTACCCCTCTCTTCCTCTCTGTAAAAAAAAAAAAAAAAAAAAAAAAAAAAAAAAAAAAAATCAATAAAATATATATTAAAAAAAAAAAAAAAAGGCACTTCTGACCAAATACTGCGTGCACTGCTTGATATCAGAATATTGTCAGAGAGCTCTGGCCAAGTAGTTCACTTGATTAGAATAATGTCCCCACAAGCCAACGCTGTGGGTTCGATTCCAGGTCAGGGGACATAAGAATCAATCAATGAATGCATAAGTAAGTGGACAACAAATTGATGTCTCTTTCTCTCTTCAATTAATTTAAAAAAATATTGTCGAAGAAACTATATCCACAGGGAAAAAGTAGCTGGAAATATTTTCTTTTAAACACTATGACCTTTGAAAGAATGAAATTAACACATTTGGTTGACCCCTTTTGAAATTCTGCTCAATTCCTGATCCCACCAGGAAGCACAAGTTATTATAGGTTACATACCCTTATTCAAATAATTGGTCAATGATATGAGGACTCTACCTTAAACCCTGGTTTTCCTAAAATAAAATGTAAACAAATCAACTTTTTGTATCTCAGTTTTGCTAATGAAAAATTATAATGCTGTCTAAAATAAATCAGACTATGCTATACCTGGAAATCAAATATCAAATATACATTGAAAAATTGCTAAGAGCAAATTGTGAATGGGTACATAGTGTCTGCAAAAAAATTATATACAGATGACCAATTGGCAAAATTAAATAGTTATGTTTATTGTTTCAAAAGCATCAACTGGTGCTTAATTCTGTTTTCCTATTTTAAATGTCTGCAATTATAAGTCAGTGTTCCTTAAATGTGGTATACATACTACTGGTAGCATTTAAAACGCTTTTAGGTGATATACAAATACTTTTTATTTAAATGATTATCTTAAAAATATTTTTATATGTTTTTATTGATAATTTTAGAGAGAGAGGAAGGGAGAGGGACAGATAGAAACATCAATAAGAGAGGAATATCAATCAGTTGCCTCCTGCATGTCCCCTGCTGGGATCGAGCCTGCAACCTGGGCATGTGCCTTATCCAGGAATCAAACCAGTGATCTCCTGGTTCATGGGTCAACACTCAACCACTGAGCCACATTGGCCAGGCTAAATGATTACCTTCTTAATGTGTATTAGACAAACACTAATTTTTCCATTTGTAGTAAACACAAAGCAGTTTTTATAAAAATAAAGTTAATAAGTAAAATAAGTGAGATGATTTAAAAGTTCAAAAGTGGGCAAAACAATCTATGGTGTTCAAAGTTGAGAGTGATTATCACTGTGGAGTAAAGAGGCAGAGGGACTTCCAGATCACAGGCAGTATTTTTTGATCCCATTGATGATTATATAAGTGTATTTACTCTGTGATAAATTTTGAAGCTGAACACTTATGGGTTTGCATGTCTCTGTATATTTATGCTGTATAAATAAAGATCTGATCTAAAAATGAATGATTTAAATAAAAATATTTTTTATTACCTAATGACACAATGAAAAAATTCATGATGATGACCCATAAATGACTCATGTTTGAGAAACACTGGTATAAGTAATATAAAATGACGTCAACTCAACTGATGCCAACTTTTATACTGTTAGTTTCACATTCCTGAAGTTAGGCTGTAAGTCATACCTCGAGCTAGGTGGACAACAGGTGGACAGGTACTCTTTGATCTTCATCACTGCTCTATACGACATCACTGTCCAGACCTGTTCAGTCTGAGGTCAACACCACAGATTTGCTCTCTACATAAAACCAGCTTGTTTTTAAAAGAAAAAAGACCTCTGTGTCACTTTCAGACGATGGGTATAGCCAAATCACAAACATAGGCTAGCAGTCATGGAAAGGACAATGAGAAGAAATGGCCTGGCACAGACAAATCAATCACTGCTGGAGCTGTAACTTCAGCTTTACCCAGGTGGCGGGTTAGCAACATTCTCCTCTGCCACTAAGGGATGAACACTTCATCTGAAAATGGTAAATAATTCTTACTTCTCTTTTTTAAAAATGGAAATACTCCTCTAAAACTAGTACATGTCCATTACAAACTATTTCACATGAAAGTAAAAAAAAACAAACCCAAAACTAAAAATCATCCATCTTATTATATCACTCCGTCTACACCTACTTCTTAGCACATGCATTTATTTAACAAACATGGACTCATACTACACATATTTTATAACTTGCTTTTTGATTTTTATAATATGCGTGGACATTTTCCAACATTAATTAGATATAGATGTTCACTCTATTTGATGAGTGTGCAGCATTCCACTGCATGCTGGCGAGTTACACTGTGCCCTACTGGCTGACATTCAGATTGTTTTGCAGTATGTATATTAAACATATGTGTATGTATGTGAAATAAATATCTTTGTATAAAAGTGTAACACTGCCTTAGAATTTATTTAAGGTAACAAACCATGACATGGTGACAAAAATTCACTATGCTCTACTTCAGTCATCAATGTGGTTTTGAAAAATCATCCACAAAATTATTGAAAAGCCATCTCACCCGTAAAAAGATGAGGAAATTTAATAGGCAATATCACAGCCTCCTTAAGTGCTTCTTTGGCTCCTTCAAGACCAGCAACATCGCTCCATTTCACATTAGGTTTCTCCATAATAATGGCACCTACAAAAAATTATATCATCTTTAAATTAAGGAGGACTATTTCATCAAATTTAGATGACAACATGAAATAACGATGTTAAATAAATGTATTATAAAATTGTCTGGAAAAAATTGATTAAAAACCTTTTTGAAAGAGTGTGATGAGGAACTAGTTGGGAGTAGGGAGCAGTCAGGTACTCGGAATAAGTCACTTTCCTATGACTGCTTCCTCATTGTGAAGTAAAAATACTACGTTTGCCCAAGGTACTCGGACAGGTTAGTGTAAGAGTCAAATGACATAATAAATATTAAGACTACTTGGAAAAGCACCAAACATTACATTACATTATAGCACAAATTCAGGAGTATTGAAAATGCTCATTCGATGGGAATTGATTTACTATTTCTCCTCTTAACACCCAAAAAAGTAGATCTAATACTCTCCTTTAACCACAGAAAAATACACTTAACAAATTGAACTGAAGAAAGACAGGTAGATGGGATAGAAGGGATGGAAAGGGGAAGGAAATAAGGGAAGAGAATAATGGAGGCAAGAGAGAAAATGTACTCTTGTAGATTTACAATAGTACCAAGAGATTTGCAAAACAGAAGCCAAACAATTAAAAAACCATATATTATATTCAAAAGCTATAGCAATTGTCATAAGAGTCTTTTAATATAACTACTGCCAAAACTTTCTAGTTTATCTTTCATCAAAAGCTTTTCTAATTTCCAGTACTGTATATAGAAATTGCTCCACTACAAACCACTAAACAGTTTGTTCCAAGATGATGTGTAATTGTATGATAGAACACTACCACTTACACAATCTACTGCTACTTAAAAATTAGTTTTATGGCTTATTTCTTCTCATTAGGAAATATCACCTATTATTCTAAGAGTGGTTATTCTCTGAAACTTTCCTAAATTATGAAAATCATTAACTATAGATTAAAATTAAATAAAACCATAAACATTTTTTGCACTCTAAAAGTTCAGACTAAATATGAATCGAGAATGCCAACTCACTTTTTATTTTCTATATTCCATTTAATTTAGTTACCCTACATAAGGTAATAATTTACATCATCAGATAGGATTTGTGTTAGTTAACGGACATAAATTTACTTTATAAGTAAGCAACTAAAGTTTTTTGCTATGAATATTATAAATATGCCGTAATCAATGTTCACATTTAACCTAACACTTCTTTTTTCCTTAAAGTTTAAAGGGGACTTTGGAATGTTTAGTAATAAAAGATTATTTAAATGAAAGTAATATTAATTACTAGACACTTAATGGTTTGTAAAATCAAAAACGGGAAAGGATTATTAGAAAATAAGGGTCAGCCGTACCCAGTTTGGCTCAGTGGATAGAGTGTCAGCCTCTGGACTAAAGGGTCCTGGGTTTGATTCCAGTTAAGGGCATGTACCTCGGTTGCACTCCTTCCAGGCCTGTGCTCTGTGTCGGGGCTTGTGTAGGAAACAACCAATTGATGTGTTTCTCTCCACCAATATTTCTCTCTGACTTTCCCTCTCTCTTCCATTCTCTGCAAAAATCAATGGAAACCCATAGCTATTTTTGGCTCAGTGGATGGAGAGCTGGCCTGCGGACTGAAGGGTCCCTGGCTCAGTTCCGGTCAAGGGCATGTGCCTGGGTTTCAGGCTCGATACTCAGTAGGGAGTGTGCAGGAGGCAGCTGATCAATAATTCTGTCTCATCACTGATGTTACTACTATCTCTCACTCCTTTTTCTTCCCATCTGTAATCAATAAAAATATTTTTTTAAAAATCAATGGAAAAATATCCTCAGGTGAGGATTAAAAAAAGGTCAAATAATTTGACTGTTTGTTTCCAATTATATAAATTTATCCAGTCTTTCAATGTACTATTTATTATACAACTTTTTGTTTAATTTTTACTCACAGAATAGATAGAAGAAAGCTTTTTGCCTTACAACTGAAATAAAGCCACTGGGCACAGGACCACTGGGCTGCTCAACCAAACTTACTGAGTGCAAAGTGTGTGCCCCCATTGCCCTAGGCAGTGGAAACTTAGTTCTGTCCTTGGACTACATCCACCATTGAAGTTCGAGGAATATAAAATATCCTCACTAACTAGTTTTTTAAGGTACTGACCTTATAGTATCCTCCTATACCTCCCAGTGGAGTTGGCGAGACGAGAAAGATATAATATTACAAAATGAAGAGACTATTCATCATTCATGAACCAAACTGGGCCTATATAATGGAAATCTGTCCCAGTTATGCATTCTATTTGTCAAGATTCAAATGAACAAGATACATAAAACTCAACCTGAAAAAGCATCGTTAGCATATTAAAAAAAAAAACCAATCCAATCCCAGTAACTAAAGAAGCCAGCAATTATATAGATCACTATACACAAAGCTACCACTTATTGAGTTCCTAGAATTTGTTAACTATAATACTAGGCAGTTTTTACATTGTCAGAAATCTTTTACTAGCCCTGAAACAAAAATATTATTAATTTCTATTTTAGAGCTGGAACTCAGGCTCTGAGATGTTAGGGAACTTGCTCAAGATTTAAGTGGCCAACCTGGGATGGAATCCAAATCTGAATGGAGCCAAAATCTATGCTCCTTCCATCATGCCACTAGACAATAGTCGAGGAGAATGAAAGAGTGTTCTTCTGTGTGGAAGGTAAAAAGTGGAAAGAGAGAAATATAAAGAGTAGTGCTGAAATAGAATAAAAAAGGCAGATGAGGAACCATGAGCAGGTTGGAAACATGAAATAAATCATTAATAAATAAGCTATAGCAATAATAATAAAAGCCAGGTGTAAGTACTAATTCATTCTGTTCCTGACAGGATATTTTGATAACCTCAGATTTGGTAGTGTGTTTTCACAGAAAAAAAACCCAACCCATTAGAGGCCCTAAGGAGAAAAATCCTATGAAAACCAGCATGTGACCTCTAGAAAACAAAGCCAATTCTTGAACCTATTTAAATACAAGGGGGGAGGGAGGAAGCAATTCAAATAGATAATTCACTATTGAGTTTTTTAAAAATAAGAAAGTAAATTTAAAAATGAAATCTAAAGCAACCTTGAAGTTGATTCTGTAGTTTCTTTGCTTCAGGGTCATCTGATTCTTCTTCCCCATCACTGTCCTTCCTAATAAAAAGAATTTAATATAATCAAATGATCACTCCTTGCTATCAAAAATAAGGCAAAAAGGAAGGAAAAATTAGTTTGAACTATTGTAAGTGGCAAAATGAGACATTCACATTAAAAATTATGCTTATTTCATTATTCTTAAGAATATATTAAGCAAATTATTAAGAGGAATATTATCCATCAGTATGGAATCATGAACAGGAAAGGGGAAAAAAAACCAGAATGAAATCAGGATCTAGCTCCAACTTGCCATGACACACTTATATATGTGCTAATTCATAAATGCATACCCCACACCTCATCCCACAAAAGATTTAAAATGAATTACAGAAGAGCTGTAAACAACAACAATTAAAACACCAGAACCAGGCAAACTATATATTAGAACAAGACATAACTAGGAGAAAAAACAAACAAGATTCATTATTTAAGGCACAAAGATCTGTAACCCTTAGTCTAGGGCAGTAGTTCTCAACCTTTCTAATGCCATGACCCTTTAATACAGTTCCTCATGTTGTGGTGACCCCCAACCATAAAATTATTTTCGTTGCTACTTCATAACTGTAATTTTGCTACTGTTATGAATCGTAATGTAAATATTTGTGTTTTCCGATGGTCTTAGGTGACCCTGCTAGCAGTTCTCAACCTGTCATGACCCACAGGTTGAGAACTGCTGCTGTAGAGCCTAAGACCATCAGAAACACATTCTCTCAATACATTGCCTTCAAAGATCTCCATTCCTGGTGACCACAGGGGATTGGCTAAGTAGCTTGTGCCACTGCATACCATAAACCACAGTATTGTATCCTCTAAAATTAACCAGAACCTCTGCCTTCAAACCCAAATAACCCCACCTCAGAATCTCATCTTCTTAAGAGTGTGTTGTCATCTAGAACCACTTCCGGCACCAATGAACAGAATGGTCAGAGGACCTGCATAGAGTATGTTCCCACTGCTCAGCATAGAACTTGGCACGAACATACTGAATAACAAACTTTGCATCTATTAATGACACATCTTCCATCTGGGAAGACATTCCAAAATTGATTTAGATAAGGGTTCCCAACCATTTTTGGGCCATGCCCCATCTAAGCATCTCTAAAATCCTGATGCCACCCTGTGACATATAATTCTTATTCAATAAGTGAATTCCTATTCACATAGAGGAAGCCTAAAAGGCCATTAACTTGGTCTAAACAAGTTTCCAAAGAACATGGCATCCATCAAAGAGAAAAATAAAAGAATGAAAGGACAGAAGTAGTACTGAGGAACAAATCACTAAGGAATTATTTAAAAAATACTAATATGAAGTGACACGAAAAAGCCGCAAATAAAATTTGTTTCATAATAGAAAGCTGAAATGCATAAATATGTCACAATATATATTTATACACTGTATATGAGGCACCTAGAACCATAAAAAAATGCAAAAAAGTTATTGTTAATAATGCATTATTTTTTTTAAAAATATATATTTTACTGATTTTTTTTACAGAGAGGAAGGGAGAGGGATAGAGAATTAGACACATCAATGAGAGAGAAACATCGATCAGTTGCCTCTTGCACACCTCCTACTGGGGATGTTTCCGCAACCAAGGTACATACCCTTGACCGGAATCAAACCTGGGACCCTTCAGTCCACAGGTCAACGCTCCATCCACTGAGCCAAACTGGTTAGGGCTAAAAACTCATTCTTGAATTGAGTTTTTATTCAAAATCAAATTATCCCTTAAAAATCAAATTACCCCTCTGTGGGGTGTGTACCCCATGTTGGGAACCTCTGGTTTAGATGTATTTAAGTAATGCTGTGTTGATTTATTCACAATGACAAAATAAAAGCAAATATAAAGCAAATTCATATATATATATATATAAACATGTTTACGTAAGATATCCAAAAAATTATTCACATTATTGGAGTCATTTTTTCTTTTGTCCATATGGATAATATAAGGACTAAGAGACAATACTACTAATCAAAAACTTAATTCATAGCTGAAAACGGTTTGGCTCAGTGGATAGCCTGCGAACTGAAGGGGCCCAGGTTTGATTCTGGTCAAGGGTATGTACCTTGGTTGTGGGCACATCCCCAGTTGTGGGTGTGCAAAAGGCAGCTGATCGATGATTCTCTCTCATTGATGTTTCTAATTCTCTATCCCTCTTCCTTCCTCTCTGTAAAAAATCAATAAAATATACATTTTTTAAAAATTTAATTCATAGATCATTCCTATAATTTCAAACTTCAATGTTATATAATGGCCAGAAGGTAAAGAACTGAGCACCATTCCTACAAATGTTTTTTTCCTACCACTACCAAGTGGTCATGGAGGGTCAGTTGATGTTTATTGTCCCCGAAGGGGTTGGGAAACTTCCTCTGTGTAAGGACCAGACAGTAAATATTTTAGGTTTTGTGGGTCAGTTTCTGTTGCAATTATTCAATATTGTCAGTACACCACAAAAAGAGCCATAGACAATAGGTAAATGGATGATTAAGGCTCTGCTACACTAAAATTTTATTTAAAAAACAGGCTGCAGGTCAGATTTGGCCCATGAGCCACTGTTTGCCAACACCTAGTTTAAAGAAATTTATTTCACAAATACAATTTATCTTTTAATTGATACAATAAAATCTAACACTATAGAATACACACCTCTTCTCAAAACAGATATACAAGTCAAGGAAGCACATACAGTCCCAAATAAGATGAACCCAATTCACATTATAATTAAAATGCAAAAGGTTAAAGACAAACAGAGAATCTTAAAAGCAACAAGAGGAAACCAGTTAGTTACCTACAAGGGAGCACCCATATGACTGTTAGTAGATTTCTCAACAGAAGCTTTGCAGGCCAGAAGGAAATTGCAAGATATATTCAAAATAGTAAAAACAATGGCCAACAACCTAGATTACTCTACCCAGAAAAGCTATCATTTAGAAGAGAAAGATAAAGAGGTTTCCAGATAAGAAAAAGCTAAAGGAGTTCATTACTACCAAACCAGTATTATGTGAAATGTTTAAGAAGATAAAAAATATAAACAATGAAACGGCAATAAGTAAATATCTATCAACAATCAAATCTACAAACAAAATGAACAAGCAGAACAGAAAACACATAGATACAGAGAACTTTTTGTTGGTTGCCAGATGGGAGGAGGGTTAGTTGAAAAAGATGAAGGGATTAAGAAATACAAATTGGTTATTATAGAACAGTCATGGGATATAAAGTACAGCATAGGGAATATAATCAGTAATTTGTAATAACTAGGCATGGTGCTGGATGGGTGTGGGATTTATTGGGATGATCACATATTAAGTTATGTAATGTCTGGTCACTGGGGGGTACAAAAATAAATAAGTAAAAGAAAAAAAATGCATACCCCTTCTCATCAGTTGGACTCGATTGTCCTTCTTTCACCGGCTTCTGTGGTTTTTTCTCTTTCTTTTTCAGGTATTCCTTTAATTTTTCTGCTCTATCAAGATATTCTGTACACTTTGCCCTGATACTTTGCTTGGCTTTATCACCCTGTGCTTCATCTATTAAAGGGAAATGAGAGAGATTTTTCCATTAGTGTTCTATCCAGATATTTTTAAGCTCTTACATACACGTTTTTTGTGTTGGTTAATCTTCAACCAAGGATATTTTTTCCATTAAATATTTTAGAGAGATGCCACACAAGACAGTAGATGGGAGAGAAAGAATAGTGGGAGGGAGAGAGGGAAGAAAAAACAAACATCAAGATGAAATACATTGGTTGCCTCCTGCACATGCCTCGAACCTACAACCCAATTATATGCCCTTGACTAGCAATCAAATCTGAGACCTTTGGGTCCATGAGCCAATGCTCTAACCACTGCAACACTTTTCAGGACCTTAGACATATTTTAAACATGGAAAATCCATTTTGGGGAGGAAGGTTATCTTTAGCTCATCCTAACCAAGATTATCAATCTTTACTATTCCTTCTCATAAAGTTCAGAGGCCAACAGTAGGTTTGAGTCAGAAATAGATCTGAGCAAGGCACTAGGATATTTCAAGTTAATACTAGGGGCCCAGTGCACAAAATCTGTGTGTGGGGGGGAGGGTTTCCTTCAACTCAGCCTGCACCCTTTCCAATTGGGGACCCCTTGTGGTATGTTTGACTGCCATTTTAGGCCTGATCCTCCTGCCTGCCTGCCTGATTGCCCCTAACTGCCTCTGCCTGCCAGCCTGATAACCCCTAACTGCCTTCTCCTACAGGCCTGATGTTGCCCCTAACTGACCTCTTCTGTTGGCCAATTTGGTTCTGATGGGCCAGCATCAAAAGCTTCCCCTCCTAGGCACCATTGGCTCCCCATAGCACCCAGATTTGGTTCTCATTGTTCAGTTCCTTCGCCAGTCAGTGTCAAAAGCTCCTTCTCCTAGGCAGTCATTGGCTCCCCACAGCACCCATATTTGGTTCTCATTGGTTGGTTCCTATGCCAGTCAGAGCCAAAAGATCTGCATCTTAGATAGCCATTGGCTCCCCACAGCACCCATATTTGGTTATCATTGGTCGGTTCCTACGCCAGTCAACATCTCTAGGCTTATCTCTGGGCCTGATCAAATAGGCAGGGCTTAACAGCAGCCCCCACAGAGACCAGGAGAGAAACACCTGGCTGTTGGCGAAGAACAGAATAAAAGAGAGAGAGAAAGAGAGACGTAAGTACACTGATCAACAGCTTCCACTGAGGCTACAGATCAGACTCTGACTCACTTTCTGGGTCTCAGCCACCTGGGCAGTCAGTTCTAGGTCACCAAGCTGCAGCTGGGCAACCCATCACTGACTTCTGGATGGTCTGAGTTTGGTCAGGCACTCCCCGCCCCTCTGACCACAGGCTCAGCCCCTTGACAAGCCTAAAGCCTCATCCCCGGGTTTAGGCTTGGGAAGTGGCCCACCTCCACCCCTGCCCCTCCAATCGCAGGCTCAGCCCCTTCCCAAGCCTAAAACCTTGGGCTTAAGGCTTGGGAAGAGGATTCCCCACCCCTCCAATGGCTGGCTGGGAGTGACCTGGGTGCCGAGGAGTTTCCCGTAACACAGATATATATGCAAATTAACCACCATCTTTGTCGGGTTAATTTGCAAACTCACTCTGATTGGCTGTGGGTGTAGCAGAGGTACAGTCAATTTACATGTTTCTCTATTATTATGTAAGATTGGATAGTAAGTTATTTAATATTCTATTCTCTTCCCTTACATTTTATATAGATAGCTGAAAGCTGCTTATCTCATATAAAACCATTAAGACAAACAGAAATAAAGCAAGATTAACAATTTCCATTAATGTCTAAATAAGCTTTATTTCAGAGTATAAACAGTGATAGAAATCCCATATATTATGTGTACCACCAATACAGTAATTTTACTACATATGGGCAGGCCTCTGTGAGAGCTACATGTTACAATTCATTCTTAGTTTCACTTTAATTTGACAGAAAAATCTCAAAAGTTAAATGGGAAACTCAAAAGAAAATGCTAACTTATCCAACTGCTAAAATTTTTTATTTAGAAAAAAATTAAAGTTTACCAGAAAGAAGTCTTTTCTAACATCTATTTCACCCATATTCAGCATTAGACTTAAGATACATGAAGGTAGGAGATTCACCATTTTTCTTTCATTGCTGGATCCCCATGCCTGGTACATCCAATTTTTAAAAAAATACATGGGGGGGAGGGGAGGAAAGGTTCCCATCCTTTGAAAAACAGTATTTTCAAAGAGATGCTTAGAAGATGAGAAAGTTCAGATTACATAAGTTGGGTACAATAAAATAAAAAACTTATTCCTATTAACTATATGACATTTTTATATGTTCAGGTATGCAAAGTAACAACTATAATAGTAGTGCAGATTTATTAGCTGAGTACCCAAAACCTGTTTAGATACTAGAAAGCTAGTGGGATATATTTATATATGCAAATAGCTATTAAATATTTTTCATATGTATTTATAAATATATTAAATTATATCTATAGTATATATATTTGCAAATTGATAGTTTAGAATTTTCTGGCATTGTATTGCAATATTCATAAATGAAATAGATTAAATAAAAATTTATTTTGTTGTTTTTAAATAAAGAAACAAACTACAACCTTACATTTAACTACGTGGAGAAAATACTGGACAGCATGTTGATAGAGTTGAAGGGCTTCCTCATAGTTCCCAGCCTTGTCTTCCTGGGCTGCTTTGCTAGCAAGATCTATTGCTTTCTGTTTGAGGAGAAGCAAAATCATACCATCAAAATCAAACCATTAAAATCAAAGCATAAGTGTATGTTTGAAGTAAATAATCATATGGAAAGTAATTTTTAAAAAATACAACCTTAAAACAAATCTATCTTTTTTTCTAAATCACAATAACATCCTATATAATAAACCCTAATATGCAAATTGTCCAAATAGTAGAATGATAGGTCACTATTAGGTCTAGTAATAATTAATGTCGTTTTCTAATACTTTTTAAAATCGAATTTATTTAAACAATACAACAAAATTTAATCAACAATATAGTTGCCGTTGTTTTCTACTACTTGTGCCCAATGCTCAGGAAGCATTTTAATCCCTCTGTTGTAAAATTCTTGTGATTTTGATGCAAAAAATTCGGCCAATGCATTTTTGAGGCATTCTTCATTATTAAATTTTTTCCAAGAAGAAAGTTTTGCAAAGAACGAAACAAATGGTAATCGGAAGGGGCAATATCAGGAGAATATGCAGGTTGAGGGAGAACTTCCCATTCCAACTGGCGCAGTTTTTCAGCAGTGATTCTTGCAGTATGCGGTCGTGCGTTATCGTGGTGAAGAATTACGCCCTTCTGATTAATCAGCGCGGGTTCTTTTTCTCTTAAAGCTTGGGCTAACCTTTCCAATTGGGCACTATACACTGCACTTGGAATGGTTTGGTTAGATGGTAAAAGTTCATAATGAAGAATTCCTTTAAAATTCCACCAAACACACAACATCACTTTTTTCGCATGCAAGTCAGGTTTTGGCGTGGGCTGCGCAGCCTCATTTTTGTCCAACCATTGAGGCCGCCTTTTCAAATTAACATACAGCACCCATTTTTCATCTCCGGTAACAATTTGCTCTAAAAATGGCAAACGGTTTTGACGAGAGAGGAGCGAACTGCAAATTGTGACTCTTTGATTATGGTTGTTGTCGGTCAACTCATGAGGAACCCATTTTCCAAACTTTTGGACTTTGCCAAGTGCACGCAATTGATTGGAAATCGTTTTTTGTGAACAATTTAAAGTTGTCGCAAGCTCTTGTTGGGTAATTTGAGGATTTTGCACCAAAAGAGCTTGAAGAGCTTCTTGATCAAAATTGGACACACAGCCTCAACCACTCTTATCATCTAACGAAAAATTTCCCTTGCGAAATTTCTCAAACCAACACTGGCATTTTCTGGTGCTAACTGCATCTTGACCAAGAGCACTACAGATGTTTTTTGCAGCCTCACCCGCTTTTCTTCCTAATTGGAACTCGTAAAGCATGCAGTGCCGAATATGCTCTTCATCCGCCATCTTCTTAGCCCTAGTTTTGCAACAAAAACCAAACCAAACACAAACTTTTTCAAGCAAAACTTGTTAATTGCACTTCACACGTTCTGTAGATACCACGTGTTTGAAGGTTATGTCAATACAAGTCAACGCCAAGCAAGATTTTAAACGAATGTTTTAAAACGACATTAATTATTACTAGACCCGATATGACGACACTGACCACCAGGGGGCACACGCTCAATGGAGGAGCTGTCACCTGGTGGTCAGTGTGCTCCCACAGGGGGAGCACCACTCATCCAGAAGCCAGGCTAATGACTGGAGAGTACAGAGAAGGTGGGGGAGCCTCTCTTGCTTCTGCTGCAGGCAGGTGGTAAGGAGCTAGGTCCCAAACTGTAAGAGGGATCTCTGACTGCTGGCTTAGGCCCAAAACATTTATCGTAACATGAAATCTATCTATATAAAAGGCTAAGCGGCCATCACATTCAAAACAACCGAATGGACTACCAAACAGGCTGTGTGGGGCAACCAGGCCAGCAGGGAGTTAGCGAGAGACGACCAAACAACTGAGCAGCAGGCTGCGTGGGGCTATCAGGCCTACAGGGGGGGCAGTTGGGGGCGACCAGACCAGTGGGGGGCAGGGGCAGTGAGGAGTGACCAGGCCAGCAGAGGGGGGCAGTGAGGAATGACCAGGTTGGGGGCAGTTAGGGGCAACCATGCCGGAAGGGGGTGCAGTAAGGGGCGACCAGACTGGTGGAGGGGGGGGTTGGAAGCTGGGGGCAACCACTCCAGAAGGGGGTTCAGTAAGGGGTGACCAGGCCACGGGAGGGGGGGTCAGGGGGGGCCAGGGGGCAGTTGGGGGTGATCAGGCCAGCAGGTGGGGGAAGAGGGGCAGTTAGGTGCAATCAGGCAGGCAGGCAGGTGAGTAGTTAGGAGTCAGTGGTCCTGGATTATTAGAGGGATGTCCGTCTGCTGGTTGGTTTAAGCACAATCTACAGGATCAGGACTAAACAGGCAGTTGGACATTCCCCAAGGGGCCCCGGATTGGAGGGTGAAGGCTGGGCTGAGGGTAACCCCCACCTCTCAATGCACAAAATTTTGTGCACTGGGCCTTTAGTATATTTATAATTAAAGTTTTTGAAAAGAAACAATTTTTACATGTAGCACAAGTTCAACTATTTGAGATAACAGGTAAAAAAAAAAAAAGCACAATAATAGGATGAGGAGATTTAACAGAACTTATCTTTGATAAGATTTTAATTTTTCATTTTCTACTCCCACATCTTCTTAAAAATGTCCATAATGCACACAAGTTACTTTTGAAGTATTTTTTGTTAAAAAAATAAATTCATACAAATATGTTCAACTGAATGACAAAGCAAAAGCAAGTAAAGGGCAGAAAAATAGAATTTTCAATAAATGATATAAGAGTAACTGGATATCCATAAGCAAAGAGAGAGAGAACTTGAACTTCAACCTAAACCCCACACTTGGTATACAAATTAACTCAAGGTGGATTATGGACTTATATATAAAATATAAAACTATAAAATCTTAGTTCTTAGACTTGATACCAAAAGCACAATATATAAAAGGAAAAAAGGAATTTTTTCATTAAACTTAAAACCTTTTGGTCTGTAAGAGATTCTGTTAAAAAGACAAGCTATAGACTGGGAGAGATATTTGCAAACCACATGCTCAGCAAAGGAGTAGTATTTGGACCCAACCAGCGTGGCTCAATGGCTGAGCACCGACCTATGAAACAGGAGGTGGAATATATAAAGAACTCGCAAAACTCAACAGTTATAAAAAGAATCTAAGGAGAAAATGGCTAAAGACATGAAGAGACATTTCACCAAAGAGGATATACAAATATAAGCACATGAGAAGATGTTCAACATCATTAGCCATTAGGGAAATGCAAATTAAAACCACAATGAGATGTCACTACACATCTATTAGAATGGCTAAAATAAAAAAAATAAAAAAACAGTGACAATATCAAATAGTGGTGAGGATACAGAAAAACTGACCACTCATATACTACAGGTAGGATGTAAAATGATACAACCATTCTGGGAAACTGGTTTGTTACAAATATAAACATGCAACTACCATATGAATCAGCAACTGCACTACTGAGCATTTATTTCAGAGAAACCAAGACCTATGTTCATGCAAAAACTTGTACATGAATGTACCAGATGTCTGACAACGATTGCATGATAAACTGTGGTACATCCCTACCAAGGAGTATTATTCAGTGCCAAAAAGGAACTACTGATACAGAGATGGTAGGCAATGGGGGCAGGTTGAGTGCAGGGGGAGTTAGGTGACTGTGGTTATAAAAGGTCAAGAGGGATCCCTATGGATAGACTATTCTATATCATGACGGTAGTGATGGATGCCTGAACTTACCCCTGACAGAACCCTACACACACTCAAATACACACTAGTACAGTGAGAGTGGGGAAATCTGAACAGGATTGGTGGAATGGATCAGTGTGCCCATCTAGTTGTGATACTGTACTACAATTTTATAAGATGCCACCATGTGAGGCAACGGGATCAAAAGGATCTCTGTATTATTTCTTCACAACTGCATGTGAATCTATAATTACGTCAAAGTAAAATTTTCATTAAAAAACTATCTTTAATTTTTAAAAATATACATACAAGTAAAAAGCAAACATGGTTTATTTAAATATTCCAACTGGATTAATTTAGGTCGTAAAATTGTATGCAACAGAAATAAGAGCCTGAAAGGGGGGTGGGGGGGATGGTCATGATTATACTGTATTAAAAGTAAGCATATAACTCAGTTAAGAAAAAATTATTTAAACAACCCCCCATCACATGTATGAATATTGTATTTTGAAACAGACTGCAGAGAAAGAATGAGAGCTGTAAATGGGAGAAGAGATATTCATTGGGGCATCACGCACTCCGTGTTGCAGCAGCAGGGAAAAACTGAAATCATATGCTTTTGAATTGAAAAAAGTAGAAGTTACCTGTTTCACATCTCAACTAGCCTGAACTTAAAGCTAAATTTTCAAAAGTTTGGTAAACTAGGCAAAATATAAAGGTCTCAAGAGTTGTAGCACGCGGTCATTTAGTGGGTTATGTATCTGGTCATATAAAAATGTATCAGGAAGGCTCAGTGGCTAGGCCATGTGCAGAAATAAGTTCTTTCTTATTCTGGCTGTGATTTTCTTGTCATATTATTTTTACTCACTGTGCCACTCACCCACAGTCCCCTCATTTGAGGTCAGCCCTCTTTTAGGCACTACACTGACCTTTGTTAAAATAAAATGCTTACAACCAGTATTTAATTATCTATCTCCAAATACAGTACCCTGACTTGAAACCAACACTTCTCTCATGATGGACATGCATCCACACCATCCAATATAGGAACCTCTAGCCACGACTTCTGCACACTTGTGGTTAGTGTGACTGAGGAGTGAGTTTTAAATTTCCTTTAAGCAAAATTTAAACAGCCACATGTTGCTACTGTACTGATAACACGTTAAACCTTTAATCAAGGATGATAACTTTCCCTGCTGAATGCCCCACTTCACTCTTATTTCTGTTAGCATTTTTAATTTGCAATGAAGGTAACTGTGTCTTGCTGTAGTTTGGGAGCGCTAGTAATTCTCCTAGGGTACAATCTGACCATCTCCCTAGCTTCTGCCCTGGTTAAATCCACTATCACATTTGTCAATACTAGTGCCCAGTCTCCTCGGTGGTCAGCCTGCTTCCACACTTGCCAATCTAACAGCAGCCAGTGCTGGGCACCCATAGATTCCTACTGCAGACAAGAAAACCCAAGTGCTCGAGACCAAGTCACATACTGAAGCCCCAGATCCATTCTGAGGATGGGAGACACTTTCAGAAATTTCTCAATGTCCGCTCCACAGAGGTCTGACGAGTAAGTCTAAAATTTCAGGATTTCTTGATTGGTGTACAAAATACCATGCTCACTGCAGTGGGGGTGGGGAAGTGGAGACACAATCTAATGAAAGAAAAAAAAAATCCCCCGATCTTATACACTACATTCTGGGAGCCATAGAGAGTGCACACAATCGCATATACTCAGTGAACCCACGGATTCTTCGGAGTTTAAGACTGTTCTCACGTTTCTATTCATTTGACAGCTCGAACAGAAGAGCTCTGCTGTAGCAGCCTGAGGAACTAAGCGCCAACTACGGACCACCCTACTGTCAACGGGTGCAGCGCAGTGATTTGTAAACATTTCGTGCTCTCCGCTCTCCCTGACACAGATTGAAGCGTCTGCTCACAGCCCTGCCCAGTTCGGTTCAAATGCGGCTGGTGTGAAGGGAAAAGAAAAAAAGTCTCAACATAAGAGTCTCAGAAAGCCAGTGGGAGACCCCGGAAGCGAGCGGAAAGCACCCAACTCCCCGACCAGCGGCTGGGCGCCGCCCTCCTCCTCCATCTTCCCCGCCCTCCGCCCCCCGCCCCGCGCCTCCAGCCCTCCAGGGCGGTGGGAAAACAGTAATACCTGGAGGTTGGTCGTGGTGGAGGCCATGGCGGAGATCCGAGGCGGTTCCCTGGGGAGGGACGAGGACACAGGACCAAGAGCGGCGACGTCGAGTTGCGCCTGGAGTCGCCCCGAACGTGCACAGGCTGGGGACTCTCGGACCCCTAGCAGCGGCCTCCCTTCTGGAATTTGTTCCGGAATCACAGGGAGCTCCGAGAGCCCCCTACCCTCCTCACAAAACTTCCGCAATCCCGAGCCCCTCCGGGCTCTGGTCCCACCTCTGGCCCCAGAACTTCCGCTTTCGTCATCAGCTCGCGCACTACCCAAGTCTCAGTCATCCAGGTCTCGCCTTAGCCCGGGGCATCGCGAGACTAGCTGAGGCTTCCCGGGAACCCGCCGAGGTTTGTGGCGGAAGTCAGGCTGAGCGCCGGCGCACTGTGGCACTGGCCTAGGGACCTGGCAGGAGCAATTACTTTTTCTTCTTTTCCGGAAGTCCTATAGTTTAAGATGGGTTACTGGCTCTGGCTCTTTTCACTGCACATCATGGAGCGTGCTCTGCCTCTCTGCAGCTTTTGAGCTGGAAAATACCATCCTGCTCCAAGGCCCACCACCGGTTGTGGACTTTGGTTCCCTTCCCTGCCTCCTTTGTAAAATGGGGCTGATTGTAGTGCCTCCCTCGGGGGTTGTGAAGTCATGCTCAATGCGGCGCAGAGCACAGTGACTGGCGAGCATTAAGATCCGAGTGCGTGTTATTGCTCACCCTTCACATCATCCAGCAAGCATTTTTCAAATGGCTGTTGCCATGGCTCCAGAGGCCCTGAGGTCATCAGTATAGGTATGGCCATGTCCTCAGGAGCCTGCATTAAGATCATGTGTGTTTACATACCACGTTTAATAGCTTGAGAGATTAAGTGCTTTGTGTGAGATCACATAAGTGAGGGGCTGTTGTTTGCCAGTCTTAATTCTCTTTTTCTTCTTCCATAGTTAAGTGTGGGGCGTCAGAACAAATCACCCAAAGATGTAAAGATTGAATTAAAGGCAACTTTAGTCGCTGCCTCAAGAAAAACCTGTGCCCTTCCCTAACTATTTGGAGGAAACTGAATTAGGGGCCTGGCCCACAATAAGCAACTATTAGAACATCTTTTGACCTTTCTATAAGGCAGGGAAAACTTTTTTCTAAATATCTGCTGTTCTTTCCATTGAAGCTCCTCATCCCTAGCTCTGAATGCCACATATAGCCATGTTCCCTTTCTATCTCAGAACCTCGGTGCATGGGGGTGTGGGGGTAGGAGTAAAGGTAGGGGAGGGAGTGGAGTTGTCTCTGATTCTCATGTATGCAGGGTTCCCATACGTATGTATGTATTAAATTTGGTTATTTTCTTTTGCTAATAGGCCTCATATCTATTTGGTTATTAGACCAGTCAGAAGAACCTTGAGGGCATAAGCTCAAAGGAAAGGGAATAGATATCTAATTCATTTTATTTCCTACTCATTCCCTAATTCTTTCCAATCATCTGCCATCTCCTAAGTAATTAAAGCACTTTCCTCCCCCTTAATATTTGATAATGCCAATTACCTAATTTAGAAATCTCACTTATATAACATTCTATATTCCTTTTCTATCTCCTTCACTGTCTCCCTTTTGGACTCCTCTCTACCTGCAGAATTTCCTCAAGTCTGATCTGTCTTCTCCCTTACTGTATCTTTCTCTGCTTACCTTATCCTCTTCCTGAGCTTCAGGTATCAATAGCATAGAAATGGCAAAACTGATCTCTGTACCCATCCTGTCCTATGTCCTGCATTTGCTACTAATTCCAATGATCTCCAAAATCCATGGGGTTTTCCTATAAATTCCAAGCAAATTAATTATCTTCCACCCCAAAACTTTTTTCTCTGGTCTCATCAGAATGATTTCACTAAATTTCCATCAACCAGATTCAAAGCTTAAAGCTCTCTCTTTGTCTTTATCCACCAGTACTTCTTTTCACCCCTCAGCCCCTTTCAATAACAGGTAAAATTCTGACTCCAGCCTTTAGAGTGTTAATGTATAATACACACTTAATAAATATTAAACCATTTAACTGAGCTGTTTAAAATAAGTTCCTGGTTTTTACTGACAATGAAATAAACTTGATTTTGCCTGAACATGCAGACTCCAATTTACTTTTTTTTGTTTTGTTCTTTTTGTTGTTGTTAATCCTCATCTGAATGTTTTTTTCATTTTTTTTCTTCTTTAGAGTGTGGAAGGAGGTAGGCAGAGAGACAGGAAAAGAGAGGAGAGAGAGAGAAACATTGATATGAGAGAGAGATATTGATTGGTTGCCTCCCACACATGCCCCAACTGGGGCCAGGGGTCAAACCAGCAACCCAGGTACATGCTATTGATTAGGAATTGAACCGGACCCTTTGGTTCATGGGTGTTGCTCTAATCTCTGAGTCAAACCAGCCAGGGTTCCAGTTTACCTTTCAATTCAATCCCTAAACATTCACACAACACTCTCTAGACACAAGTCTACTAGGCATTAATAAAACTACGAAAATGGCCCTGGCCAATTTGGCTCAGTCATTAAGAATATTAGCCTACAAACTGTAGGGTCTTGGTTGGACTCTAGTCAAGGGCAAGTACCTCGGTTGCAGGCTTGATCCCCAGTCCAGGCATGTGTGGACATCAATAGTTCTCTCTGTCTCTACTCCTCCCTTCCATTCTCTCTTAAAAAATCAATGGAAAAAAACGTCCTTGGGTAAGGATTAACAACAACAACAACAACAACAAAAACAAAACAAAAACAAAAAACTATGAAGATTAATAAGATGCTATTTATGAGTTTACAATTTAGTGGAAGACACTGACACATACTAGTAAATAGTCCATTGAGATATTGAATACCGCCATGTGCCAGGCTGTTTTAAGTGACAAAAATGAACAAAACAATAAAAAAAAACTCCTTTTTTTAAATCAGAATAATAAGACATACTTATATCATGCACCTCCTAACACACAATGAAAAGAGTCAGTAGGCTGATAGGTGCATCTGTGTGTTTAGTTTGCAACAGGGTATCCTATCCTGCCCATTCAGGACCAAATGCATCTCATTCAGATCATCTTGAAGGAAATGCATAATATGAAAGCCCTCAGAGCATGCCAGCCACTTGTTGAATCACTAGCTCTGACCTGGAACACAAACATGAGGAAGCTGACACTCTGACAGTGTTGGTCATGTGAAGGATGTGACTCAGGCTGTTCTCAGCAGGAAACCTGTTCTCCATATGAGGTAGCATACCTTTCTGAACATGCTCAGTGATCCTGAAGGCCCAGCCCTTTCTCCCTGATTGCTGTTAGTTTATTCCTTTGAAGCCACAGAGAGCTTCTGGACTGATTGGTGGGTTCAAGAATTGACCCATCAACCATCAATGAGCCATGTGATGAAAGGTATGTTGACCCAAGTAGCCATCCTGTCTCTGTTGATGACCTCCAGGCAAATGTGACCTACATCATTAGCATGGAAGGAAAATATGAGGACTTTGCTGTCAGCCTAACCCCATAGTCCCCCAGACTGTGGATATTAGGAACACAATAATGCACTTCAAAAGTCAATTTTAAATACCTTCCCCCACTCCTGCTCAAACCAAGTATTTTCCTTTTAGGTGCATAAACTTACATCTGCAAACATTTTCAGAAAGGTATTGTGTCAGAGAAAAAAGTTGGTTGTAGTTTTCTGTAGAACGCAACATTTAATTAGAAGCTACATATCTAGTGAATGGCACTATAGCACATTTCTGAGTAAAGAATGAGGCTAAGAATCTGGGAGAGAGGTTTGTGGGGACAGGACCTGGAAGCCCTGAGTGAAAGGTCATCCTGTCCACCTTAAGATTGGATATCAGCTGGCAACTTTCTTCTTTTGATTTATCAGTTTCCCTATTTAGTATTTAAAAACAGAATTGAAAATGATATATTTTGATGGTGAAATGAAAAACCCAAAATTGCTGAACCTAAAAAATGTTTCACGGAAATCTGCTGTTTCAATGCCCCCTAAGGTCAATCTTTTAACTAGAAAAGACATTTATTACTCCCAGTCCTACTCTATTTGTTGGACTTTGTAATCAAATCATGTGCAATGGAATTTTGTTTTTATTGTCTAAAGTTTTATATATGTCTCCTTTTTCCCCAATTGACTCCTCACCCTGCTCCTCTCCCCAGCCATTCTCATCCTGGGCAAGCCCCCACTACCCAGTATCTACATCCATTGGTTTCCCCGAAAATAAGACATCCTCCAAAAATAAGACCTACTACATGGAAAGATAAGACATCCCCTGAAAATAATACCTAGCTCAACTTTGGGAGAAAAAATTAATATAAGACACTGTCTTATTTTTGGGGAAACAGGGTATGTATGCATACAAGTCCTTTGGTTGTTCTCTAATCACCCACTGCCATTTGTCTCTGGATCTATTTTTGTTCATCAGTTTGTTGATCACTATATCCCACATATGAGGAAGATCATGTGATATTTATCTTTCTCCAATTGGCTTATTTCACTTAGCATAATGCCCTCCAGTTCCATCCATGCTGTTGCAAATGGTAAAAGTTCCTTCTTTTTAATAGTGGCATAGTATTCATTGTGTAGATATACTACAGTTTTTTAATCCACTCATCTGCTGATGGACACTTAGGTTGTTTCCAAATCTTAGTAAATTGTGTTCCTATGAACATAGGGGTGCATATATCCTTTCTGATGGGTGTTTCTGGGTGTTTTTTTGTTTGTTTGTTTTTTTGATTACTGAGTCAAATGGAGATTACTTGGTCAAATGGGTGTTCTATTTTTAACTTTTTGAGAAAACTCCATAAAAATGGGACTACATCAAAATAAAAAGCTTCTGGCCCTGACCAGTTTGGCTTAGTGGGTAGAGTGTCAGCCTGCGGACTGAAGGATCACAGGTTCAATTCCAATTAAGGACATATACCTTGGTTTTGGGCACATCCCCAGTTGGGGATGTGCAGGAGGCAGGTGATTGATGTTTCTAATTCTCTATCCCTCTCCCTTCCTCTC